GAACACTGGAAATGATAGCTAATGGTGACAGGTTTTCCTCTCCTTTTCCTTCGAATGAAATTACCTGTAGCTGTTCAGAAATATTATGTCCACGTATTGCATTCAAGCATTGCTGCAGAGTAGCTTTTTTCTCAGTTAACTGATCATAGAGCAGCCTGGTTTCATTCTGCAAAAGAAACAAACATCAGAAGTATAGCACATATTAGGAATATGGTAATGACAAGACAAAATTACACAGCAAACAAAACTGTTACCTCTTAGAACAAAAGCACTTTCTTCCTCTTTAAAAAAACCCAAAGTAAAGCACGTGCATTATGGGCTTAAAGCAGTAATTTAGAGAGAAATTCTGTAGTCTGTTAGTGTAAGAAAGCAGATTATTCTGTCACAATGATCCTCTATCACCGTAGAAATCTATGAAACTTACAGAGAAACGAATTCTTCCCTTCCGAAAATGAGAAAATGAGCCCATTAGTGGTGACTGATGAAGCTCCATGGATTCTGCATAAGTAAACACTGCAAGACTAGTCCTGCTACTGTTTGGAGACAACATCCCAGTGTTCTTCAAAGGAACTGTTTTATTATTCGGCAGGAAAGAGCTAGGCTGACTTGCAGATGATGAGCACACTGGAGTTTTGTGGGACATTCGAAACTGTATTTCAAAGACCAAGCTTTTCTTTCCTTACTTCAGCCTAAATATCTGATCTGAACATTTTCCAGCAACAGCTAGATTTAGCCCATCATGAAGTTTCTCACTACCTGCTTATGGAGCCCTATGGAAGTTTCTCACTACCTGCTTTTCCAAAAATAGAACAATAAAAAAAATATGCAAATTTGCAAAACTATGGCTTCTGCTACCATGGCACAAAATCTAAAGGAACAGCAAATACAAAGCGTCAAATCAAACCTTCAATACATAGCTAAAAGTAGGCCAGTGCCAGACGTGGCACCAAAAGGAAAGACACTTGCCTCTCCTGAGTCCACACAGCAGCCGAAAGAATATACAAAACCTTCCTTGACCTAATCCCTGCACACAGAAACTTGCTTTAGCCTGTAGCTCAGCGTGCATGGGATCCCAGGTTACTTCCAACTTTTCTGCATGCAAATTTTCTACTGTGATCAGGGCCTCTAAGGTAGTCAGCATTGCAAACAGCACTAGAAACAGCAAAATTAATTTGTTTCTTGAGAGGCCAAGACAAGTTTGTTTAGTACCAAAAAAACAGAAAGCCCATTACAGATTGCTCATCTGTAACCCAAATGCATTAACACTGACAGGTCTAACAGATGCTGTGAAACAAGATGTGCATTTGGCAGTGGAGTACCTGATAATTGCTATTATGATCCAGCCCAGCTTTCATTGAGTTGCTCCTTGAAGCAGTGGCAGCTTGAGTTTGTTCCAGCCGTGCCTGCAAGTTGTTAAAGCACTCGCAGAACACATCTGTGCTCCCACCAGCACAGCTAATAGACTTTAAAAGATCATCCTTTTTATCACTCAGGTCAGCGTGAAGCTTTTGCAGCTCAACAGAAAGAGTCTAAAGGGTTGAAAGAAAGATAACGTGAGTGAAAATGGTCTCTGTCCAAGGACTCTTGCCTGTAAAAGGCGGCAGGACTCAAACTGATAATTGTTAAAAGCAACAGGCCCAAATTTGTGCAACACCAAATGGCTTGGCTGTATTACTCCCGAATAATACCAGCAAAGCAGAGAGGAAATATCAGGCCATATATATTCTGTATAACATAAATCCACTGGGGTGTCTCCTTCCCTGGATGCTTTAGGACAGTTACCTCATAAAGAGCCTGCTGCACAGCTGCCTCTTCAGTGGAGAGGACTGAGGTGTTCAACATCTCCTCCATGTTATTCAAACATCGGCTGATTGCCAGAAGCAGCTCAAACAACTTTCTGTCCAAATTGGAAGAGACTTCCTCTGCCACATTATCCTGGGTAAAGGGAAGTCAAAAGATTTCAGTACTTTCACCCAAGGCACGGCTAAGATTTATTCACTCGTGTAAGGTTAAAGGTTCAGTCAGCTAATCATAAAATGGAATTAATGAAATACCGAGAGACAGATTTGGTTGAGACAGTTATATGCGTGTAATATCCAGAGCTGTCAAGGCCAAAGCTGAGACAATGACCCTTTATGTACTGGGAGTGGCTGTGGTCTTACATGTCTCTCATCTCAGGGATGGGCACAATGCAATTTGTCTTGCCAGCTCCAACACTGCACATTTACTGAAATCATTCAGAGGTTCCTTGCTTTATACAGTTCGTGGAGTTTTACCCACACTAGCAAATCTTCAGATTCAGGTAGCAGAAGTATCATAGCTGAAACTTGAAATGTTTCCTCTCAAAATCCTAAACTGATTTCTACATTATAGTCCATACCTGGTGACGCAAAAGCTACACTACAGTGAATGCCACCTGCAGTAATGTGATTATTGGCTCTTTTTCCCAATGCCCATACAGTGTCTTGTGTCTAGATTCCCTGGTATTTTTTGCAATGCTAGGACATGCCATTTTTACCTGTGCATGCACCACATTTGCTTCTTGGCTTAGGTCTCCCAGCTGGACAGTGTAAGTTTTCAGTTCTTCCACAGTTGGGGTTCCAGGACTAGTGAATGTGCCTCGGGGCAGCATGTTCATCTTTGTTGTAATCTAACATTTGGAAAAAGAATATTGCATTTATGTGACCAGCTCAAATGAAGACAGGGCTATGTGCAACTAGATAATGCTCCTCTCAAAAAGCATTAAAATGAAAGTTTCAAGGCATTAATATAAAGCATCTGGATATCAGGGTTCCCTTTTTACTGGCAAAAATTAGTTGGGTAGGCTAGGCCCTGATGGGAGATTGACTGAAAAAGGAGCCTCTGATTCCCAGATTTAAGGGCTACCAGTTGTAGTTTGTGTCAAGGCAGCCTTGCTGCCCACTGCAGTGTAAGTCTTGCCTGAAAGAGAGCTGACGTTTGTCCTTTTACACGACTAATATTCTATGTAACGCAGTAATTTCAGAGAACAGGGAATCTAGTCGTTCTAATTGAATGTAAACAAAACTGTTAATAATGGAAATGAGTTTTGTCCAAGCAATACAATTCTGCAGTCTGTTCAGAATAAATACATAGTGTGCTCTTGCTGCAGTCCAAACTCTGCTTTTGATGTGCGAGAAAGAGAACACAATGGTGAATGGCAGAATAAAACTTAAGCCAGAGATTTGTTTTGACCAAAATGTTCTCACTTGCAAGAACTGAGATTTAACCCACATCCACAAAAATGAGCTGGGAGCTTGCTGGCTAACTCTTAGTTCTCATGAAAGAATTAAGGAGGTAACATCTGGTCTGAATGTTACCTACAAGGATCCACCCATGTGCTCCCACACTATGCTTAGTAGTCACTACTTCAGAGACATTCTTTACCCCAAAGTAAAATTAAAAGACAATCATGAAAACAGTATGCAGTAACAATTTCCTCTGGAGAGCGCTTGCACAGATTTCAGTTATCTGATGAAGAGACACGATACGATGATGCAGAAAGACACACTAATTGCTATCTTTACCACAACCAACTTCCTGCAGAAAGAGCGTTTTATTGAACTTAAACAGACCTGAGGTTCCACAAGCTGTCCGAGAGGAGACTTCATCTTTGACGACAGCTCGTGTTGTAAATATTGCCATTTATTGCCCGTTTGGTCCTTTGGAGCTAAGGTGGGATCAGCCTGCTTGCTCTTTGGATCAGACTCTCCATTGCTGTATTAAGAAAACATTGTTAGAATGGCAAATACTGAAGCATAGTAAGCAAAATTAGACTTGTAAGTCTTCTTGTATAAGATTAGTTTCTATTGCTCCTGCCCCAAAACCAGAGTGAAACCAAGTGCATGGATGATCTTTAATCCAAGCTTTGATACATTTCTTTGGGCTCTTCCCTTCCCATGAAAGACCCTGAGGCCTGCTGGCAGCCTCCATCTCTGAAATGACAATATGGGGAGCACAGTCCTGTAGCATGTCTTGGTTACATGCTGGAAGGTGCATCATCCCAATGCCTCCTTTTCAAAGATGCTGCTTTAAAGCTGGCTGGGTGATTCTGTGCATTTGTACAGCAAAGGCTGTGAACAGAGATACCCAACGTGCCTCCAGATGAGCCTGCTTTAGTTTATGGCAGGTGTGAATCCTGCCTATCAAGACTGATTCTAAACACTGGAGTCAGCCCAATATCAAAGAGGCTGTCACATAAATGAGACCCTATTTCTCCAGACTGTTGATGGCAGAAATCTTCTCAGCTTCTGCAGAAATCTCCCAGCTTCTCCTAAAGGCACAGCAAAGTTTCAGCAGGTTTAGGCAGTTTTACACCACTGAATCTGGTAACTGGTTTTGTTATTTTGTACCTTGATTCTAATTTCTGAGTCACGCTGTCCTCAAACTGTGGCTGCATTTTTTCCACACACGACTCAATGAAGTCAATGAGGCTTTTCTGCTCAGCTGGTTTTACTTTCAGATCCTGTGCAGAGAGCATAGCATGAACAATAAAATCAGTTGTGTGCACTGTATTAATCTGAAATGATGACTGTGCTTTTCCAATCATATTTTACATGAATTCATTTAGCAAAGAAAATAAGAATACACCTACCAGAATAAAATGCAGTGTGTGTGTAAACATGAGTTTACCAAGCAAACCATTTTCTGAAAACATCTGTTCTTACAGAATATATTTCTCCCTTAGCTAAAGTTTTAAAAGCAAAAACCATCAGTCAGAAACAAATGATGCACATATGGAAATTTAAAGGCCATTGACTGTCATCCTTATACAGAGAAAAAGGCAAGGGAGAACGGGGATTTGTTCTTATACAAGGTTGAGTTCCATTAGTTAAAAAGAGTGTTGAATGAAAAGTGAGCAATTTTAGCAGCTTAGGCTGGATCATTTTCTCCAACTCTTTTCTAATAGCGTGAAAAGGGCAAAAACTATTTTTCAGTTAGCAAAACAGAAGTAGTCTACAGAGCACAGAACATCACAGGATTTTTTTGACCAGAGGGATGGGCGATGCCATCTGAATCATTATGATACAAGGCAAGTGTCAGGGTACCATCCAGCTTCATAGTATTACTAAACCTTTTGGACATGGGATTTTAGGGATGAAGTCTTTCTCCATCCTGACAAACTCCTCTAACCCTGGAGGAGAGGGGTGGCTGAAACCTGTCCTTGATCCCACAGTGAAAACTGCAGCAGGTATAGCTGTAGCTGTCCCCGACACTCACAGGGCATGTGGAGCAGCCTGGCTCCTGGATGGCAAGAGAATTACCTGTGGGTGCTGGAAACCGTTGTGCCAAATGAGTGGCTGTTCAGCAAGGGCAAGATGGGACGTGCTGGAGCCATTTGAGTGTAGAATCTCAAGGGGCTCTGGGTCAATCCCCTTCCTGTTGTGAATCTGTAAGGAGAGACCCGTTGTGGGAAGGCTTCCAGACTTGAGAAGAGGGCAGAACCCACAGGTGCGGTTTGGGGAAATGGCGAAAGCGGAGCTGTCTCAGCCTTACCACACATAGTACCAGCAGTGCACGAAACACGGTTGCTACTCTTGCAAAGACTTCTGTCCAGTTCCATTTACTGACAGCTTGATTCATTCTAACCTGCTGCTCTAATATTTCTCTCCCTGACAGTTACAAGGCTTGGTTTGCTTTTCCTGTTAGCAGATTAATTGATGCTAACCCTCCATTCTTATCATTTGACAAAATTACAGGGACATGTAATTAATGCTTATAAATTTGCTTATGCACCTGGATTTTCTATGTGTTTGTGCTCACAGAGATATTTCAACAGGAGCCTTTACAAACACTAATTCTCTCCTGGGCCATGCAAGCTCCCTGTCTGACTGTGCTCCTTCAGCACTGGAGAGACTGTGGCTGCTCTTACACAAACACATCAGGTGGGCTTCTCTGCCCCCCTGCACAACAGAGTGGGAATTAGCTCTGAAGCCAGGAGTTCCTGTCTCACCCACTGGGAAACTGAGCAAAGAGTGTGCTGCTGTGGTGCAGGAGAGCTGGCAGAGTCACTGCGCTTGCCATTTACACATTCTTCAAAGAGAAGTTACTGCTTAAAGGCTTATTTGCTGTGATACTGTCACAGACAAACATCACAGCATTTTAAAGGCATTTAAAAAACAAAACAAAACAAACCCCCCTTTGTATCCTTTTCCTGCACTCCTCGAAAAATCTTGACCTGTCACTGAGCACTTAAAGCAGAAAAGATGTTGTTCAGAGACTCATTAACAATCCACTGCTTGCTGCAAACTACAAATAATTATACAGCACTGTAAAGTAGAATAACAGCAAGTCTGACATTTCTGATTGACTTTTTTCCCTTCCTTGCTTCACATGGTGAGCTCTAACTGTTCTTCTGCAACTAGGGCAATTAAAGCACCATGACTCTATCACTCTTGCTCTGCATAGCATTCATATGCTTTACCTGCTCTTCATTGTATTTGTCTTGAAGCATCATCTGGACTTTTTCCAAATTGCACTTCACTTCCTTCAGCTTCAAGGAAAGAGCCTCTGTCTCTTGCTGGTAGTCTGCACTATCTCCACAATCTTCCAGTAAAGAAAGGACCTTTTGTTCAATCTCTGATAACCTCACCTGGAAGGGACAGCAGTCAATTATGCATTCTTAGAAGTACAACACTCCATTCCTGATAACATTCTGAAAGTCAATGCTCACACTTCCCCTGTCTGAAAAGAATAGAAATGTACAGGCAAAAAGAGAAATAGCTGCAAGAGCCCTAGATTTGCTCCAATATAGTCTCTTTTTATTCTGAACAATTAAATAAATTTTATAGAGAGTTAGTCTTCAAACTGTTTCAAGCCACAGCCTCTGCAGGAAGTTATATTAACTCAGATATGGAGCAATAAAAGAGAAGAGCAGAAATAATAGACTCCATTCGGATGCAACCAGGAAGACAACACATGCCAACGAGGGGAGAAGGAGGCAGTGCACAGACTGATCACATCAGCCTTGGGGAGGAATGGTGCTCAATTACCAAAACACAGTAGTTACCATGTGTCAGCCAGACCATTGTAAACTGTTGGGATCTGCTTTTTGATTCAAGCTGCTGTGAATCAAAGTCATCTCTGCATTACTTTAAACTCACATTTTAAGGCCAGCATGGAGACAGGTACCACGGCCTAACTGCAAAGTAATCAACTGCAATAAAATACCTGCTTTACATAATACGTCCATATCTAGAGACTGTTACTGCTTCGTGCTATGTGTATTTTTCTGTGTAGATCTTGATTAGGTTAGAAACCCACCCCACCCTGCGAAGTTCACGTCTTAACATTGAGCCAAACTGTTAAAAAGCCGATAGGAATTCAACACCACTTACAGCTGCCCGAAGCCTGGTTGTTTTTACCAGTTGGAACGGCCCACTTGAAGCCTACGGTGACACAAACCCTGAATGGGATCCAGACACAGCCAGCTACTTGGGTGCATTCAGGATCCTAATTCCCACAGAGTTCAGCACCCGAGCACTTGGCTGAATCACAGCCTAAACCCAGAGGCACTCCTTGGCATGGACTCAGTTCCTATTAAAAAAAACTCCACCCATCACCACCACCAAAACAGCTGGAAATGTCTGCTAGTAATTTCAAGTGGGGACATTTTGTTACTGGCTCCTTTATGGTGACTCAAGTTGTTGCTTTAGGTAGACTCAGTGCTTGAAGCAAACTGGTACACCAGACCAGCACCGCAGGGAACTTCAAAGTGGCATGCTCGCACGTTTTCTTTTAATTTGCGTGCCAACGAAAAAAAGCTGCATGCCAGGACTCCCAGCTTTCCCAGCCCCTCGTGCCAGTCCTGTCTTCCTCCACCTGTTTTCACCAAAGGGTACCACCCACTTCTTTCCTTCCACTGCCATCCAGGGCAAGAGGCTGACCTAGCATATGGCAGTAGGTCCTGCTTAGAGAGGGCAGGTGAAAAGCCCCTGTCTTTCTGCCTATGCTGGCATTTTTTTGCAAAAAGTGCAAAAGAAGGATATACCAGCTTGGAAGCTATCTTATACCAGTCTTTTAAACCACTCCAAAAAAAACAGACAGTGAAAATGTCAAAAGAAGAAAAACACTCCTTTTTTTCTAGCTGATTTATCATGATTAAGACCAATGAAAAATTGTCTTTTAATAGAGGATTCAAACTATACTGAAGCCTTATTTCTGAAAAATATCCAAAGAAAAACAAAGCTTTAAAAATACTCAAGAATTCTACCTAAATCCCCTGGATGCATAAAGATCCCAAATCTAAAAATAAATACTTTAACTTGGAAAGCTGCACCTGAAACCAAAGCCAAGTGGTTACCTGTTTTCTGCACAGTGGAATGAAGCTGATTAAGCGGGGAGAGAAGCAGCAGTAAGCATAACTTTTCTGCAGACAAACACCCCAGACTTGTTTGGATGGCAGCAGCAAACTGGCTGCTCCGTCTTACCTGGTAATCAGCAAGCTCCAGTTCCACCATCTGCTGCATTTTGGGGGTGTGGGGGTCTGACCTCAGGGACACTTTAGTTTTGTCTAGCCATTGTTCCAGCTCGGCAACCTGGGCCTGGCACACCTGGAGTATCGTTTCTAGCTCTGGCTTCCCGCCATCCACCGCTTCCTCCGAATCTCCCGCTTTCCCTCGAGAGCCCCGCGTCACGTTGGGGACAGGAGGCGGCTTCTCGCTCTGAAGCAAAGCACATGAAAGAAACGTGGTTATCTATCTGGTTTTTTCCTTCTTTCCCCTCCCCCTACCAGTGGGAAATGTTTAACTTTCACACTCACAGAGCTTCGAAACCACTTTGCCACCGTGCTCCCAGATTAAAACAAAAAAAAAAAAAAAAAAAAAGGGAAAAAAGAAAAAGAAAGGGAAACTCGCCAGCCAGGCGATCCGGGATCTGGTGTAACAGGTTTCCAGATTTGCATTTGCACAGGTATACCAGAGCGCAGGAAGTGGGATGACTCACCATTAACCAGTTCTCCCCTGGGGAGAGATGTTTTTCTGTGGGAGTTAGATGTAAAAGCTATGGAGTTTAAAGCTGCAAAGCAAGCTGTTGGGCAACGCTTATGAGCTACTTGCATGCGTTCGGTTCCAACAGTCAAATATGCTTTATTCAGGCTCTAAGTCACACAGGGAAAAAAGGTGTATTTTAAAGTATGTCTTGTGTAATTCTTTCTTCTTATTTGCCTGCCTTTAAGAAGCAACCCTGCACACTTCTGTAATAAGAAGTCTAAAGTGCTTGGAGATATCAGCAGTTGCTTGGAAGGCTGTCCAGGTCTGTATACACCTCCACACATGTAAATACTGGTACTTAGCAAGTAAATCAAGCACAACACCACAAGAACAAAACCACCTGTACACTCCCGCGGCTCTAGAGCACACGTTCAGGCAACTATGATGATGTAGTGCACAAGCTCCGTGTTAAAATGAGATTTGGCAGAAAATCAGAGAACAAAAATGCATTGTTTCAGCTATCAGTCTTAGCTTTAATCACTACTATTCTTTTTGCCTCTGAGATAGTACGGGACAGCGCCATTAAAGATATAAAGTAAATCCAAATATACAGATCCCAGAATAGTCTGTCTATTGAGGTATATGTTACTGAAGAAATAAAAAAGTACCAGTTTGCTTCAACCTCCACCTGTAATGTCCAGCTCTAGTTCTAAGCCTGTTTGGTTTAGTTCATTTATTTAAATAACAAAACATTACACATGCCTAACACTGTGCCTGACACCCTTTCATTACACATGTAAGTGTACATAGGCATTTAGCTTACACTTACAGCATGCTCTGCCCCTCCCCAGCTAGACTGTTACTGCAGTAAACTTTATCCTCTTCCTCTACAGAAACAGAAACTCAGATATATAGTAAAATTATCTGAATAAAATAAACTGGTATCGTTTGTGCAGGTGTTCATGCACACGTCATGCATTCATGTGCCAAGATCAAGACCATGGAGCGGATGGTCAATTAACAAACAGTAGAATCACAGCATGGTTTGCATTGGAAGGGACCTCTAATGATCATCTAGTCTAGCAGGGGCATCTTCAAGCAGATAAGGTTGGGCACCTGTTCCAGTGTTTCACCACCCTCATCACAAAAAATTTGTTCCTTATATCTAGCCTGAATTTATCCTCTTTTAGTTTAAAACCACTACCCCTTGTCCTATCGCAACAGGCTCTACTAAAAAGTCTGTCCTTATCTTTCTTATAAGCCCCCTTTAAACATCGAAAGGCTGTAATAAGGTCTCCCTGGAGCTTTCCCTTCTGCAGGCTGAACAACCCCAACTCTCTCAGCCTTTCCTCATAAGGGAGGTGCTCCATCATTTTTGTGGCCCTCCTCTGGACTCACTCCAACAGGTCCATGTCTTTCTCTGCTGAGGATCCAGAGGTGGACACAGAACTGCACGTGGGGTCTCACCAGAGCTGAGTACAGTGGCAGAATCACCTCTGTCGGCCTGCTGGGCATGCTTCTCTTGACGCAGCCCAGCATACGGTTGGTCTTCTGTGTGCAAGTGCTCACTGCCAGCTCATGTCCAGCTCAAGTACCCAGGGCTGCTCTCTTCGACATCATCGCCCAGTCTGTATTGATATCAGGGGTTGCCCTGACCCATGTGCAGGACTTTGAACTTAGCCTTGTTGAACCTCATGAGGTTCACATGGGCCCACTTCTTGAGCATGTCCATGTCCCTCTGGATGGCATCCTGTCCTTCAGGTGTGTCAACTGCATCACTCAGCTTGGTGTCATATGTGAACTTGCTGAGGGTGCACTTGATCCCAGTCTATGTCATTGATGAAGATCTTAAACAGTACTGGTCCCAATATGGACCCCTGAGGGACGCCACTTGCCATCAACCTTCATCTAGACACGGAGTGATTGACCACTACCTCTGGCTGAGACCATGTAAAAAATCCTCATGCACCAAACAGTCTACCTATCAAATCCATATCTCTCCAATTTAGAGAGAAGGATGTTGTGGGGGACCATGTAAAAGGCCTTACAGAAGTCCAGACAGACGACATCCATAGCTCTTCCCTTGTCCACTGATGTAATCATGCCGTTACAGGAGGCCACTAGGTTGATCAGGCAAGACTTGCCCTTGGTGAAGCCATGCTGGATGACTCAAATCACCTCTGTGTCCTCCATGTGCCTTAGCACGGCTTCTAGGAGGATCTGTTTCATGATCTTCCCAGGTACAGAGGTGAGGCTGAGAGGTTGGTAGTTCCCAGGGTCCTCCTTTCTACCCTTTTCAAAAATGGGTGCAATGTTTCCCTTTTTCCAGTCACCCCCCCCCGCCTGCCATGACTTTTCAAGTATCACGGAGAGTCGCTTCGCAACTACATCAGCCAATTCCCTCAGGACTCTGGGACTCTGGATCTTGACAGGTCCCATAGTCTTATGTATGTTCAGGTTCCTCAGGTGGTCACGAACCTGATCTTCTCTTACAGTGGGAGGGACTTTGCTTCCCAAGTCCCTGCCTTGAGGTCCATTCACTCAAGAGCTGTGGGAAGAGAGGGTGCCAGTGAAGACTGAGACAAAAAATTGTTGAGTACCTCAGCTTTCTTGTCCATTGTTACCAGTTTGCCAGTTGTGTTCATCAGGGAGGGTATACTTTCTTTGACCTTCCATTTCTGGCTGACATACCTGTAGTAGTCCTTCTTATTCTTTGCGTCCCTTGCCAAGTTCAGCTTCAGCTGTGCCTTGGCCTTCCTGACCCCATCCCTACACAATCGGGCAGCATCCCTATACTCTTCCCAGGATATCTGTCCCTGCTTCCACTGCCTGTGCATTTTCTTCTTACCCTTTAGTTTCACCAGCAGGTCTTGACTCATCCATGCCCATCTCTTGCCTTCCTTTCCTGATTTCTTACACCTGGGGATGGAGAGCTCTTGCGCTCTCTGGAAAGTGTCCTTACCTACCAGTGACCTACCAGCTCTGTTCTGCTCCCTTGTCCCCAAGAGCAGGTTCCCAGGGGGTCCTATTGATTAACTCCTTGTTAGACTTCCTCCTGAACACCTGCAAGTTTGCTTTCCTAAAATTCAGGGTCCTGACTTTACTCTTTGCCTGACCCATATCCCTCCGGACTATGAACTCCACCAGTGCATGATCACTGCAGCCCAGACTGCCTCCAATCTTGATGTCACTGATCAGCTCACTTGTGTCGGTGACCAACAGGTCCAGTATCACATCTCCTCCGGTAGGGCTGTCTATTACCTGGCTTAAGAAGTTATGCTCAATGCACTCCAGGAGTCTCCTGGATTGCCTACAGCTCACCATGCTACTTTTCCAGCAGTGTTGGGGCGGTTGAAGTCCCCCAGCAGGACAAGAGCCTGTGAGTGCAAAGCCTCCTGTAGCTGGAGTAAGAAACTTCAATCAATAGGCTCCCCTTGACTGGGCAGCCTGTAGTAAACACCAACCAAGTTCCCTTTGTTGCCTCAGTCCCTAATTCTTACCCATAAGCTTTCAACCTGCTCATGGCTATTCCTTAAGAGACAGCTCTTCACTCTATCCATTTCTTGATGTAGAAGGCAACGCCTCCATCCCTCCTTCCTTGCCTGTCACTTCTGAACAGCCTGTAGCCATTGATAGCCATGCTCCAGTCATGGGATTCATCCCACTAAGTTTCAGTAATGGCAACTAGATCATAGCTTTCTAGCAGCACGGTGGCTTCCAACTGTTCCTGTTTGTTGCCCATGCTGTGTGCATTGGTGTAGAGGCACTCCAGCTGGGCTGTCAGCCATATCACCTTCTTAGAGGAACACCCCTTAGTTCCTTTGAGGTACTTCTCTGGTGTTTCCTTGTTGGTTCCTATTATCGCAGGAGTCCCTGGCTCATCTCCATAAAACTTCAAATGTGCTCCAGTGTACCCAGCACACCTCAGAGCAACAGGCTGAGCACCCTTGATAGCACCTTGTTCCTCTGACCTCGGCGTGTCGTCCCACAGGTTGTCATGGGCAAGCATGATATTATCCCTCTCCCTCTTCAAGTCTAGTTTAAAGCTCTATCAATGAGTCCTGCTAGCGCACGAGCAGGCCCTCTTCCGCCTTTGAGAAAGGTGAATCTTATCTGATGCCAGCAAGCCTGGTGCTCCGTAGGCCGTCCCATTATCAAAAAACCCAAAACTGTGGCGGTGCCACCAGCCATGGAGCCATATATTAATAGACTGGACCAGTCTGTTTCTTCCAGTGTTACTGCCTGCAACTGGAAGGATAGAGGAAAAAATTACCAGTGCTCCAGATTCCCTTAGGAAACTATCCCAAGGCCCTGAAGTCTCTTTTGATCGCCCTTTGACTGCATGTTGCGGCTTCATTGCTGCCCACATGGAAGAGCAATAGTGGGCAATAGTCCGAGGGCTCTAGCAGGCTAGGAAGTTTCGAGTTGTTCTTAACCTGGCCCCAGAGAGGCAGCAGACTTCCCAAAGAGTAGGATCTGTCCAGCATATGGACCCTCTGTTGCCTTCAGAAGGGAGTCACCTACAACTATAACCTCTCTTTTCTTCTTTGTCTAGCAATTCAAATATTTTTCTGAATAATAAACTGTGTTTTAGGTTGCTCTAACTGAATTGGGAAGCAGGTACGTTTGCATGAGAGGGACAACATGCCAGAGGAAGGAAATGGTATTTTGCAATCACTAAGAGTAGGAATGATTTAATTTTAGCATTCAGTTAAGCTCTAAACAGAAAACATAAATATAATCGACTTCATAATTCTCCACACATACACACATCTCTAGGGAAAACAAATATATTTTACCATTTATAAAAATAAATGTCTTTCTGTCTCCAAATAGTAAATGATCTTGTAAATAAATCCTTTAACAACAACAATAACAACAACAAAAATAATAAAAAATCACTCACTACAGGGAGTTGTGTAGCATATGGAAATGTTCCAGTGTAGCAAAACACTGAAGTGAAAAAGTTGTTGCAAGCAAAAGAGCTGTCTGGTATGGTTTGAGGAAAGATGACCTTCTCTAAGAAACCTGTCTACTGGAGCAGAGAAGGATGCTGGCTCACAGCCTGACAGCACCCTCTCCACAGACTACAGAGCTGCCATGTCCAGCTTAAGAAACTGTTCCACTGAACTCCTGTATTGCTGAGTCCAACAGACTGTGGGTGCCTCTGAAGGCAAGACACTGACAAAACACAGTGGTGGCACACAGAGGCGCCAGGAGGGCCTATATTGTCTTGTAAGGCTCCTGGAAACCCAAAACATTCAGCTGGAGGTTATGTCTCTTGAATACAGCTGTCTAAATTCCCATTATCCTCAATGGAGATTTACTCAGAGCAGCCAGGGGTTCATCCCAGCCTAACAGGCAAGTAGTGTGAGCTCAGCTGAACCACTCGCTGTGCTTGGACACTGCAGCGACTACATCGCCTGCATCTGCCAAGGGAGCTTAGACATGTCCTGCACATGCAGAGATCAACAGCATCACAGTGTAGCAGAGAGAAAAACCACAGAGATCCCACATACAATTATGTCATATGTAATACACTCACACAAGGCTATTTCTTATAGTACCAATAAAGAATATATTGTGCTGCTGGCTGGGTTTTAATAGTTTACTATGTTTTTTTTTAACTATAAATTAAAGGTTAAGCATGATGGAAGAAGTTGGGGGGAATGGGAGACAAAGTGACCTGGGGGACTGCTCCTGCCCTAGGCAATGACAGATTCTGTCTTCTTCCATGCTCTAAACCCAGGAAGAGCTGAGGCTGCTCTGCTACAGGTCTGCTGCTCCAGACCTTCCTGGAGCATTCACGTCTGTCTCCATACACTCTTTTGCCCGTAACCTATGGGCTGCTGCCCACTCCTCCCTTAGCCTGTGCATGCCTTCCACAAAGCAGCAACATATAGGAGTGTCAATCTCCTTAATTTCTCCTTTAACTGCTACTTAAAATTCCTATAGTTGATGTATGTTTACATCACTTGAACCCCTCCATTCATGCCTCTATGAATGCCAGCATCTTACTTGCTGAAAATACTTCGTTTTGTTCCCTAGTAAATTGTCATTTTCACGGAGCAAATCAAAATGTATTTATTATCACCCAAAGCAGCATTATGAAGAGGCCCACAAAGGGTTGTAAGTTTTCTACCATGTCATAAATACTGCAACAAACTCCAGTAGCATAACCATAAGGAAACAGTGCCTCTGGTAGGTTATACGAGCTCAGCAGGTCACCTTGTTCAGCCTGCTTCAGGCCTTCACACTCACCATAGCCCGACTGCCATCACCTGTGCCAGGGCCTTCAGCACTCTGCAAAGTTTGCCTAGATGTTTCCTCACCATGTTTACTGTGTGATTCCATTATCTCATCAGCATCCTGTAGAGAAAGAGGCAACAGTGGAAGTATTTGTATCATTATTGGTGTAGACGTGTAGTGGTGTAGATGTGTAGTGGCGTAGATGTGGCACTTAGGAGCATGGTTTAGTGGTGGACTTGGTAGTGTTAGGTTTACAGTTGGACTCGATGATCTTAAAGGTCTTTTCCAAACTAAATGATTCTATGATTATTGCTTTGCTGTGCTAGAGAAGCCTCAAAGGGCAGCAGCCACTCAGCCTATAGTGGTCCTGGCCCAACAGTACTCACAGAGAGAAGTTCTCTTATGCCTGTAACACCGATATACAGAAACAAACAACTGCAGCTATCAGAACATCATGAAGACACCATGAAGAACAGAGCGGAATGCCACCAAGATTGTAGCCGATTGGGTGTCTAAGATGCTGATCTTCTCATGTGCAAAGAGAATCTCTCCCACAAATCATCCTCCAACAAAATGCACATTTTACAGCCTTTCCAGGGATTACTGAAACAAATTGGTGCTACCAAATGTGCATTTCTACCTTTGTTTTTTTTGTTGTGGGGTTTTTTTTTTTTGTCAAGCTAGAAGAAATTAATATAGAAACATAGAATCATTAAGTTGGAAGAGACCCTTAAGGTCATGGAGTCCAACCAATACATGCAACAGGAAAAGAGATTTTAAATGGCAAGATTTAGTGTGATATGGAAGATGAAGTATCTGAATAAGGCCATCATGGCCTGCTTTTCTACAGTTCTCTTGCTTTGCAGACTTCAGCAATACCTAGGACTTGTCCAGATCTTTTCCACAAAGATGAGTTCCCATCCCCGTGGAGATAAACCTCAGTGCATTACCTGAATGATGCCATCTGACAAAGTACCAGAAGACCAGGAGGTTGCACTGTCTTCCTTGTGCCTTTCATCATCTCTTTCTGAAGGCCAAAAACTTGCATCTTTCTCTTTGGCTGTACTTCCCTTTGAAAGCAGCAACAGCTCAGCATTAGCTTACGAACAGAAAGCTCAGATACTCCTTCAGGCAATGTCAATTACTGCAAACCTTTAGTAACACTTTGCTCTATTAGTGCCTTGGGTTTTTATCTCTATTGTGTTTCCTAAATCCCACCTCCTCCCTCGCTCTATAGCTCTGCTGCAAGATGAATGGCAGCTGGATGACACTGATAGTTTTCTCTAGAGACCTCAGAGTATCCTCATTTTTCCACACTATTTAAAAAAAAAACAACAAAAAAACCCAACAAGAAACAACCTTTCTTCTCCCCGTCCACTAAAAAGTCCCGTATGTAAAGAAAACTGGACCAATGAAGGCACAGAATCAGAAACCTTGAAACTGAAGGGCTTGGATCTAGGTAGTAAGACACCATCTCTATCCAAGCTGTTTGGACCTCTTCGCGCTATCTAGACATGGAGTTTCATCCTTGCCTAGCTTAAAGCAACCTCTCCAATACTCTGTCACTTCTTTGTCACATTTCCTTTTGATCCTTGTTGCAAGGATGTAGTAAAAAGGCTAATTAATATTCAGTGAGGACTGCAAAGCCATGGAGATTCTTCAAAACTTGGTTGAGGCCACAGTCCCTCCCAGGAGATGCAGACAACAGTAGCTGGTCACTACCAGCCTAGGCAGCCTGTGAACTGCTGTGCAAGTGGGTAGCTTGGCTACAAGCTCACCAGCACTTCTGCACATTCCTGATTTCATTCGAATACATCTTGTTGAGTCCCTAGGGTGCAGGAAAGTGTGCAGAAAGTTTCATGGATTATTTTTTTTTTCCTTTTTCAAAAAGCTATTAACTTTATCATGAAACTTTATTCACAGCTTTGCTCCTCTGCAGCGCACCTGGATGTTCGGACTCCCCAGATTCAGAGCAATCTGTTGGACAGTGTCTCCCAGTTTCTCCCACTCTCCCAGAAATCTCCTCTATCTTAACTTCATTCCCAGTAGTCTGATCATGTCCTTTTTTCTTAAGCTGAAACATACAAATCATTTTGTGTGTTTGTTTTAAGTTTTGAGCACTTCAGGGGCTGTCTAATTCTGTCTGAACTCCATCTCCACATATTAACATTGGTATTCAGGCCTGTATTTGCCACTAACACTTCCATAAAGGGGGTATTACTGTATAAGCAATCCCACCAAAAGCAGGATCACACATCACAGAATGAGGTGCTGTGTAATATTGGAATTGTAATATTGGTAGACTGGCTTGAGTGCAAATTCTCAGTATCCTGGAGTGACAAGAGATATTTCAATTCGTTCTGAAGTATTTCGGATTTACACATTTCTCATAATTTCTCCCATAGCAAAATCCTGTATCTTATATATACAGCTGTATATGTAAGATATATACTGAATTCACCTTGCTATGGAAAGAACAGTCTTCTGATTCTTCATCTAAGGAAGGCAGAAGAGACATCATTCCTCTTTTTTTCAACTACAAAAATACACAAAAGAGACAGCCCAATTATTCATGAGAAGAACAGTAAAAGCATCTTCTCTTCTGCCTGTAAACCAAAAGACAGTTACCATTTGGAGTCCACTTTTGGAGAAGCACTGAACATCTGCCACCCCACATTAAGGTAATTGAAAGCTGCAGGTACTAAGCACCTCTGAAAATTGGGACTTTTCTCTATACTGTAATTGTAATGTTTCAACAGCACAGCTATAATTGGAACAAAATTCATTTTGCTCCATGAAAACAATTTACTGAAAACCCCAGAACAACTGATTAATCAACAAATCTATACATTGAGCATTTTTCTGTTGATTGCTTGATGCAAACTTCATGTTGGATCTGCTCATGCTAAAAAATAACCAGAGGCACACCTCTCTCCCGCCTTCTCCTAGACATGCATCGTACTCGGTCTTTCTGGGACGGTTTGGAAGCACAAGGGGAGGAGAAGTAGTACTGATTCACAGCTGCAGGGGTGCTAGGGGTGCTCCTCTCCTACATGCCACTTCTCCTGGAGGAAGAAGGGTTATTTACCTTCCCTCTTTGGCTCTGAGTTAAGGGATCACAGTGTGGTGCTCCACTTACCTTCTGACCAGGAACATCAGTCCCAATCAAGTCACTTCGCGCTAATACAGAGGCTATGGGTTCATCTCCTGATTCAGGCACTTCTTGCTGTAAGCACTGATGAAGCTCAGACATTGAATTCTTCATCCCAGTAAGAATATCTTCCTTTCTTTGGCACAGCTTTATGATTTCTTCTTTTACAGCTTCCATTTCTCCCTAAGGAGCAACAACACCTGTAAGCATCCATTCTTCTTACTTAACGAAACAGTAATGTAACAGATGGTACCAGTGATGCATCTTACTGGGACTGGGGCTATTTCCCCTTTTTCCTTTTTCAGGGCCTTGGGACAGTTCCCCATTGTCACTGCAGGAGATGTCCAGATAGACGCAAAACAGTAGCAACAGATTCAGCTCAGGACAGCACTTGCCACCTGTAATGCAGAAGCTGGTAGTCTGGAAGGAAATGTGAAAGGCTGGATAACTAATTCTAACTAGGTCCTGTATAGCCATGGGAATACCAGTTCCTTCAGGACAGAGGGAATGCAGCTGGGTTACATTACTCTGTGTGTCAGAGCAGTTGATGCTACTTCCAACTACCTTCTTTGGAAAGGTGACACAAAACACTTGGGATAGCCTTGATGAGGGCAAAGACAGCAATAAGGCTAGCTCAGGGCTGAGTCATCTTTGCTGAAGCTGGCCTAAAAGAAGGAAACACAAACCACCATTTGGTGGGTTTAGTGACAAAACTATCCCATGTCTTTGAATGTGATATTGGGAGCAATGGTCCCTAACAAAGTACAAGGAAAATATTTAATGTTCTGCAGGGATTAAACAATAATGCAAGTAACTCTGCACTAACAAAGGGGGAAATAAATCTGTCTTGGTCTCCTCCCTGGCCATGACTATTGCTCTAGCTGATATTCTCCCCTTAAGAGCTTTCTGCCAGCGCCTTTCCTTACCACCCAGTCTCCAGGCGAGCACAGAAAGCACAACAAACAGACTAAGGGCAAGGAACAAAATGCCTCACTCCATTATTGAAAGTGCTAAAGCTCTTTGAAGCATCGTTGCTTGCTCAGAAAACTGAAAAGGGGCTAAATATCCTTTTGCACTCTGGGCTCAGTCCATCAGAGCAAGATTTGATGCTAGGCTTCAAATGATTCCACACCATGCTCTATCGTAGTGTGAATAATGCTATGCAAGTAATAATCTGTGACAGATGAAACCAGTAAGATGGCTAGTTCTGTCTTGACTACAGCTTCTTTGATAATAATGCTAGTGTGGCTGCATGATGGGGAAGGTGGAGGCAGGAACTCCAGCAAATTTTCAAAGGATGTAGGAACTCTGCTCAGAGAAGAATGTTTTTCCTTTTGTACACTCAAAAACACAAGGTAAAATCTTCCAAAGGTAGCGGAAAGAAAAAGTCATTGAAATGAAGAAACAGCTATACATGATAATTTGGTGTATTTTTATCAATGTCCACTAAAACCAGTATTTCTATTTGTTTCATTGCAGGAGGAGACTTTACAGCATACATTTACCAGCTACTGCTTTGCAAACTTAACTAGCCAAAAACCTCCCCAAACCCCAAATCTTTACTAACATCACTTCTTCCTCTGAAGCCCCTCAATAAGATGGGCAATTCCATTGCCTACTTCTATTCATGAAATGTTACAATTGTGAAACAGATTTTCTTCTAAAACAAGAGCTATTAAACATAAAGTCCTACACTCAAAGACAAAAACAAGTAAGAATTAGGAAATGAGTCATGCTTAGTACTAGCATCAAGCCTCCAACCACCTGAAAGCAGAGCAGCTATGTACTTAGGAGCCTACCAAGTGATTATAGTTATTAGGCAAGTACAATGTATGTGTAGTAACTTTACTGTGACTGACTGCAAAAAGCTGAGCATTTCAGAGTTGCTTTAGAAATAGTTATTACTCTTAATTAGTCACTTCCTGACTTCTGCAGTGCTGTCCTTAAAACACATCTTATTTTTGCATTAAGTAATCAATTCATCCATTAAAGAAAGCATCTGACTGCAGGGAGAAAAGCAACACATCTTTATCAGTTGATGACAACAGTCTGGTGGTGAGGATGAGGAAAGCAGTCTAAAGAATCTAACCCTAACCAGAATCACCAAAAGTACCATTGCATGGTCAATGATCAGAAAAGGGCTCGGTTCCCTCCTTATGCACTATCCCAAGGTGCTACCTCAGCAACCTTAGCAGGATGCTGAGCACAGGGAAGCTATCAGTGCTGCATATTGTTTCCTGAAAACAACACTCTAAATTTTTCTTAGAAGTTGATATAGATACAAATGACACATCAAAATCAGTAAGGAGTATCTTATGAAAGGTATATCCAACTTGCAAACTAATATTAATACCTCTTGGTGTACGTCAACTTACGTATGCGTAGTCACACTATGGCATTCAGTTGCCTGCCTGACTGCAGCGCAGAGGGGAAGCACACTGCTATTTCTCAGTGCTCTGCATCATCATTAATGTTAGTCAGGACAAGTAGCAGACATGAGAGAAATCAATGAAACCCACCTCTGGACAATGCGTCTTCTGAGCCAGTGGTTGATCTTCATGTGATATTTCAACCAAGTGGTTCTTTAAGAGTTGTTTCAACTTTTCAATTTCTTGCTCACATTCTTCTGTTTTCTTTACAGCTTCCTGTGAAATAGTAATCCTCACCAATAATTTTGAATTAAGTAGTACAGAAATAACCTAGTCAGTACTGGAACAAACTTGTACTGAAGCCTCCTTTGCATCTGTAGCTACATGTAAAAGAAACTCTGTTCTGCTAACTTTGCATAACCCTATCCTCACTAAGTTTTTTTGTTCACTTGCTAAAGACAAATAGAGAGCTCTGTCCATAAGACGAAGTGTGGTAGGGTATTCTGCCTAGCAGCACATCTTTGCTTACTCCAGAGTAGAGCTATGAATTTGGCTATAAAATGCAAATGGAGCATATTTAATCACATTCACAACAACTTAGAACAGGTTGGGAAAAAAAAAAAGAAATTACAGGGTTTCATATCGAGTTAGAAAGCCTACCTGGTTTTTATTGGTGCTCAGGTCTTTATTGGCTGTTCAAAACTGATCAGCCTTACACTCATCAAAAATGAACTGTGCTGTACTCCTGGCAGACACTGCGGCTCAGAGGATAAACCAACCACAGTATCTGACAATTTGAATACTTCCTATAAAAACAAATATTCCCACTTTGTGCAAGCTTCCTCTTCTTACATCGCTTATAGAAAAACATATTATATGTTATAAACAGCCAATTTCACTTTTACTCATTTGACAGTGACAGCAAAATCTCATCAACCCCCATGCTTCACTGTTCATGCAGAAATCGGCAATGTCCCCCCACACATTGCTCATGTTTGTGAGCCACAGCCTGTCACGACATCTCAGGTAATTAAGAAAATGTCACATCTACAAATCAGAATATTTTATGAAAACATTTAATTTGCAAAACATTTGGTGGCTCTGTGTTTTCCGATTCATGGGCTGAGAACCAAAGAGCATCTAAGGACCATTCCTCAGGTGTCTGCAAAAGGCAACGAAGAAGGTGCAGCCTATTGTCAACAGGCTTGAACTTTGCTGGCAGCAGCACCTGAACAGCCTGACAGGTTGAAAAGACTCTCTGCAAAGCGCACACAGACTCTGCCTTTCGGAGCAAAGACACTCTCCTGCTATAACAGTAACAGTGCCACTTCTTCAGTCACTTCTTCACAGTAGCACTCCCTCTCAATAAAACATGAACTAATAAGGTTCTAAATGATTTCTTTTAACTACTTACAGGAAGTAAAAATTAAAAAAAAAAAAAAAAGTAAAAAGGAAGAAAAAAGTATTTTCCCTACTCGAAAAAAAAAAGCCAAATTGGAGAGGAAGATATTTAATTATGACCTATAATCTTAATGCCATAGCTAAAGAATCAGAGAAGGAAAAAAAAAGAATAGGTCTTCTGCTCAGATTTAATAAGACACTAAAAATCCTTCTAAAAGAAAGATTCTCTTACCTATACCTTCACTTCCACATAAATCGGACTGTTCAGTAATAGCTAAAATGCATACTATCTCAAATTTCCTTGACTAACTAAAGAGTATGAATATTTTGTACACAAACTCCAATGTCTTCTGTCACAGACCAATATGTGAATATAGCCACTTGCCTGAAGAGAACTCATCTGTTCCCTGCCTTCCACTGAGGGGAAAAAAAATCTTATTTTATCCTTTTCCTAATATAAATAAATGTTACTATATATGTGGGACTGATTATCTTCCTAGAAGTGTTGTTTCTCTTTTGAGTTATTTCCTGCTTAACATTTGCTCTTTACTTTTCCTATTGTGGTAACACTAGAAGACCTACCCATGGAAAAGGCCCACCGGCCTGTAGTGTACATGCAGGCAGGCGTTGTATTCATTACGGAAGAGCTTACTGAAAATGAGCACAGTAAATCATCAAATATGCAAATACTGCCACTGTCTTCCACAGAAAACCAGTAGAAGCAGCTTTGGCTTCCAGCTCCCCTTCCTGATGACGTTACTTAGGTAGTGATGGGTGTGGTACTCGATAGGCCACAACAAAAAACAGAGGGCAACATTCAACACCTAAGTCACCTAAAATCCTGCCCCAAAGCATTTACACTACCTATTATAGGTTTTGTTTCTGTTACACGTTTTCAGGTGTTAGACTGCAACTTAATTACACAAAAGTTACTAGTGCAATATCCTAGTGCATCACAGACAGCAAGATGAGCAAACACATCCAAACACTACAATTTCAGAACTAATCCTCAGGGAAAAAAAATAACTATGTATATATTTGTACAGGAAGCTTGCCTCCTATTTGCTTTCCTCTCTATCAGGATACTTACTGCCTTTCTAACGCAGCACTCAAAATGCCATCCTTTAACAGATTTATCCTTTGTTATGTCTTAGCTGGTGCTAGACTTGTATTGTAGTACTGCTGCTTTCAACCTATTCAACAGGACTGGAAAATCTTTTTTTTTTTTGCACAGTTTGATATCCTAGCTGCCAAGAATTGCAATTTTTCCAATCTGTTTTCTCACAAAGAAACTTCACTCAGCTACAGATTGTTGGATGCCTATAAGATAAAGGTAAATGCTGAGTAAAAATGGTTACAGCTGTTTCAAAAAGGAGAAAAAGCTAAACCTTGACCTAATGCTCCACATAAACCAGTTAGAAGTCTCATGCTAACACTTTATAATGGCAAAGCACCCTATTTCTGATGGTTTTAAAACGTTTTGAAAATTCTCAAGTATTTAATCTGAAAAAGCTAAATTTTACCACATCTATTTTTCAGACATAAGAAATTGGATGGACTAAAAAAAAAATTGTAGGGATCATACGGATCTCACATAGTCATTCCTTTACTCATGTAGCATGCTTGAGATTTTCTTTTGGTGGGGTGCTCTTAATTTCACAAACTGAAAATCAAAGACTGAGATTAACATTTTACCTTCAACTTGTGTCAGCCTGGCCTCCAAAATACCCAGTAAGAAGTTACATGTTCTACAGCACTCTGCTTTACTCTAATAGCTTTGGAAAACGAAAGCACCAAAGATATTGTATAATTTTTCTAGGTGCTGCTATCATCCTGCCAAGAAATGGATGGGTCACATGAGAATTTTCATACCTCAGCTGATGCGAGAACATGCGTAACTGAACTCCAGATTGCCTCCAAGTGTTTCTACCCTAGGCAATGGAGCATGACACAGATATTCCTGAATTAAAACCTTCCTGAGCTGGTACAACCACATTGCTCAGTGAAGTGCTGCAGAGATACTACTTCAGGTTTGAAGCCAGCATAGCTATTTCATAACTCATACCGCCCATGAGTTAACGCTTACTGACCCCACCGGCACTGCCTTCCCCTACAGCCATGTGTCACAACGATCCTGCTGTATCACTTCTGTTTCCAAACCTGGTCTGGCCAACAGCATCTCCAAGCCCCTGTCACACGTTCACTTATGCAGACACATCCTTGCATGGGACCTTCTGAGGGCAGGAGATGGCCTGCCTCAAAACAATGAATTAACCAAGCAACAGCGGTAGAAAATGGTCACTTTCATGGCTCACTGATTTGGGAAGATCACCTTTAGTAAAAGACTTTCTGCTATTAATCATTAGCAATTTCTGTCCTTAGATAGATTGATAGACAGATTAGGTTGCCAACAAAGAACTTCCATGTTCAAGGTAAGTTTAAGGACTTGAACGTTGCATATCACACTGGACTTCACTCATCAGTTGTGCAAACCTGGGTCATAAGACACTTCAGTCTTCATTTCTTCTACAATATGCTAAAACGCGTGGTGTCAGCTGTGACTGAATTGGAAAACTGAAATTAATTTCAGGACTATCCAGTGTGACTAGTATCAAATTGCCCAGGAAAAAAGCAGTACAAAAAAAATCCCCGAACCATTACATAGAAGACATAGTGTGTGTATATGCCTGTGAAAACAATATTGTCTAGTGAACAAAATTATTACAAAATAAAGTTGGTTTAGGTGACAGTAAAAAAAAAAAAAAAAAAAAAAAATCAATTACCTCCAGTAGGTCATTTTGTTCCTTAGTAATTTTTTCTAATTTCTTCAATTCTCTCAACAGTTGTCTTGCTCTTTGGAAGGCTGAGAAAGGTTGTATTTTCACCCCTGGTAGCTGAAGTGCTTCTTCATAGGACTGTATACGAACAATGGTCTTCCGCATGGGACCAATATGGCCAAGTATAACCTATTAGGATACAGAATATATGATGGATGTGATACTGAGTTGGAAAAATCAACACTGAAAATTTATCCTGCTGTCATGATCTGTAAGGGTTCTCTTTGGCAAGTTTCCCATTTAAGATGGAAGAATATGTTTCTCGGAACAAATAAGTGAAAATCCATGGTGAGGCTGTCTAAACCAAGAGGAAGATATAACTTACATTTACAATTCTGCTTTTTCTGCATATACATACATAAAGTTTCCACAGTGACAAAAAAAGGGTCACATTCAGATTAGTTACTATTTACTAAGCATATCATTTCAAAGTAGCACATCTTTGGCAGTGAAGACAGTTAAAAAACTGGTGCAAACCCTTTGGTGTCACTCTAGCCGAATGTTTTTTCTGTTTTGTGATGCAAACCAGCCATGAAATGTCCTATGTTAAGGCTAGCCATTTTATGACGGTCCTATAAACAGTCTTATCAACATCGCTGAAATGATTAACCAGGATGGAAGCCTCTGAAGATGGCTTTCCTGTCAAAGACAACACCCCAAGCGGATGCACCATTCACAATCACCTTTATCAGTTTTGGATGAACAGAAATGTGCAGGTTTATACCACAATACACGTTTTATGGAAGACTCAGTGATCAACTTAGGAAAGACAGAATGATAATACGAACTCACAACTTCTTGGTTCTCCTAAAGAAATACGAAATCCTACTGAGACCTCATTCAGCTGGGAACTTCGGAAGAAAAAAAATACAAATACAAACCACCTCTGAGCCTTTTAATTACTATTTTTTTTGTTAAATTCCCTCTCAAGAAGATTTCATTTTAACAGGCCTCAACTGGAATAGAGATGCTTATTCTTTCATTCGTAAGCAGCCTGTATCAGGATTTTTTTGTTATTAGCGTACTAACCAGGCTTCAATATAAAGTAAGGAAGTCGGGTCAGCATTTTTTTCCAGAAGAAATATTACTTTAGTTTTTCCATATAATGCAGCCATTGCAAAATAGTTCTCTGGATAACAAAGCTATGAGAGGTATGGTGACATTTTAATCCCCTGAAGCTGAACCCATGCTTTTTTTGCATTTCAGCCAGCTAACAATGTGGACTGCATGTGGTATAAAAGATACCATAATGCTTTTCTTTACTTAGCTCAAGCAGAGAAAGGAAAACCATCTGGCCAAGGTATCTTTGCAGTGAAGTCCCTGCATGATGAAATAGTTTTATGGTAAGTCACTCCAGCCTAGGTGTCCAGAAACATCTGCTCAATTTTGCCTCCATTTTTTGAAAAATAGGGCCTGATTTTCAGACTTTCAGATTACCTACTGTTTGATGCTAAGTACAGTGATAGGTATCAAGTGTCTCTGAAAGTCAGGCCATAAACTTTCCAAAAACAAAGACACTCAAATGTGGCAGGTATGTCTGACAACGTGTGCTTAAGTTACATACTCGAGTTCTCTATGGGCATATTCTCAATAGTGCTTTAATTGCACACATTTTGTTCAAACCATGACTGTGCTTCTCAAAGGGATCTCCCAACTGTTTCACCTTAGGGTTTACATTGAGCAATTGTCTTGGACCATGCAAACTGGATTCCTTTCAAATGAAACTAAAGCAGAAGATACTCCCCAGAAGAGCTTCTGGAGACACCCAGCCACTAATGGATGTCCATTTTATTGGATCAGTCCAAAGCCCCCAAGACACATACAACACAGATTATCAGGTCCTTTGCACCAACTGTTGTGTTCCTCTTGGATTGCATTACTTGATACTGAAGAATCATGCAGCTGAAACCATGACTGAAATAATACTTTCAATGTTTGACCCAAGAGTTAGAATTTGTGTGATACTCACATTTCAAAGTCATATACTAAAAACTTGTTCGTGGTAGTTTGCAGTCACAAAACAGCCTTATGCTTGTGAAAGCATATTTATGCTAACTTATGCATAAATATATAGGGGAAAAAGCCTATATAGGAGTTTTCACAGACCTGTCCATGTTTAAGCTGGTCTTTAGGAGACAATTCTAATAGCTCTTCTGATGACAGGATTGTCTTCATTTCGGCAATGTCCTTCTCAAACACTTTCACATGAGATTCAATGGCATCCAGTTCCTGGATTTTGGGAACAAAGAGAATATTTGTTGATAGTACAAATACCAAAGCCAGCTTGCATTGCTGCCTTTCATTTAAATTTAAATAGAAATACTGAAAAACAAGTGTAGCATATGCAGAGTATGTTAACGGACGCTACCAATCAAAAGGCTAGTTATTATAAATTATGTATCATCATAGCTTCTGGAGAAATTAAGTATCTAGGGTCACCTGGTCCATCTTAAACTTTGAATACAGAATTGAAATATCCTTGGAAAGTCAGATTATAAATTACCAGTAGTGATAAGACACTTTTCCAGTGGTGATTGTTATCAGCATAGGAAACTGGTCTAATTACACTGTTGCAGCTTCCTGTGTGAAGTCTTATGGCAGATGGAAAATGGATCCACATACCGTATAGCTGCTTGTGAACTCTCATGGAGACAGAGTCAGAGAATAAATTCGTTTGGAAAGGACCTTGGGAAGTCTCTGGTGCCTGTCAGAGCAGGTTGTTTGGAGCCTGATCCTGCTGAGATTTGGGTATCTCCTGGGATGAGGATTTTAACTGCCCTTTGAGCCCTCCCTTCAAGCAATCTCACTGCAAAAAAAAAATCCTTCCTAATACGTAGATGGAATTTCCTTTGTTATAATTTGGGTCTGTTACTGTTCATCTTTTCTCTGCACACCCCAAGAAGAGTCTGGCTCTGTCTTGTCTGTAGGCTCCCATTATACAGCAGTAGACGGCAGCAATACCTGCCTCCTTCACTCCCGAGCTGTCTCTTCTCCAGGCGGAACTGACCCAGGTTTCCCAGCCTTTCCTCCAACATCCTGTGCTACAGGCCCCTGACCGCCTTGGTGGCCTTCCAGGACTCGCTCCAGGTATGTCTATGTCTTACACTGGGAAACCTAAGTACAGCACCCACGTATGATCTCACGGGTGCCAAAAAGAAAGATTGCTCCTATGCACCTCCTGGCTACACTCTTCCTCATGCAGCCCAGGATGCTGTTGGCATTCTTGCGGCAAGACTTGTGTCCACCAGGACCACCAGCCCTTTTGGTGAAGCTGCTTTCCAGCTGTTTGGCCCCCAGTCTATATTGCTATTTGCCTGTATTGTTCCCTCCTGGGTGCAGGACTTTGCATTTGCCTCTGTTGAACTTCAGGAGGTTTCTCTGTCAGCCCATTTTTCCAGCCTGTCCAGGTGCCTCTGAATAGGAGCCCTACCCTCCAGCAAGATAAGCCCTTTTCATTTGCCAGTCAACAAGCCCTGAATTTCTCCTCCTAAACAAGGAGTTTCATCAATACTCCTGAAGGTAACAGCTTAATTAGATACCAAACACCTTCTAATGGTTTGCTTCCAAACAATTTGTTTCCTCACTTGGCACATCTACTAAAACCAGCACACGTTTTGTCTATGCAGGCAATAGCAGCTGTATTTCACAACATATGATGAAGCTCCAATAAAAGGCACTTAAGGATCACCCAAACTTACATCAGCCACATGCTGGATCTGTGGAAGAATCTCTGCTATCTCATGATGTAAAGTTGCTACTTGATCATCTATTTCATTTAGTTGTTGCATTACACTGTCTGTTTCAAAGACTGGTGTTAGCTCCTCCAGCTCCAAGTAAACACTGTGTAGAAGATTTTGCTTTTGCTCCAAGTCTTCCAAAGCCATCTGGAGACAAAATAAGAGCTTAGTTTGATCTACCAATGGTGAACGTAAACTTTTCACAGAGGTTAAGACCAGAAGGAATCAGTTTGAATTTCCTGTATGTCATTGACCATTGCATATATTCCCAAAAGCTTAGTTCAGACTAAAATATTTCACCCCTAAAGGAACCAAACTGCAGGCAGAAAACTGAGAGACTGATGCCATGATTTTAAGGGAATCAATTAGATAAAATAAGTCTACATGAGTATGACAAAAGGCATGAAGAGGAAGACTTCAAACTTAGAGAGAGGTCCCACCCCCCCAAAAAAAAGAGAAGTATGAGATCCTGGAGAAGATTCCTCTCCAGTTCCTGTGCCATGGTCAGGCTGACCCCAAGTGCATGAACAAGACATGTCAGCCAGACACCTGAAAAGAGTTTTCTGCCCAACACCCTGCAGACAGCAGATGTAACAAAATGCTCCAGAAAATATCTGTCCAGTTGTGCATGATGGAAAGATTCTTCCCATCTCCTGCAGCTAACTGGATGAGCTTTTGCATTAATTACAGTGAATGTCTTAACGAAGAACAGTGAGGATAGCAAGAAATGCATGTGATCCTCTGAAGGAAAGGACTGAACGCATGTCTCTAATGCAAGCCTTGGGTGCATTTCCAAACGCACTAGTTTCCCAACACAGGAGACAATACGCTTTTGTCACAAAAACATTCACAGATTTTAGAAATCACAGTCTCCTCATTGTGGCTACAAGCTCTGTAACAAATCAGTCCAGAACAGCCAGCTACTTCTTGTAAGAAATTCTTATTAGTTTTAATACGAGGAGCAGGCATATAGAAAACTCAAATTTCAAATATGAAATTGCCAGAAATCCTCTTGGCACTTGCCTGGCCCTAATCTTTCTGGTAATATTACAAACATTTGATTCTTAAAATTACCAGTCAGAATTACCTTCAAGATACAGTGAGAACTGCCTTCCAAATCACAATTCACTTCAAAGCTTCCATCTAACACAGACACCAAAATACCACTTTACCCTTTTTGGATCACATACACACAATACAGAAAGAACCATACATGTTCAGGCAGTATAAACTGATTATAGCCACACAATAGGGTAACAGAAGACAATCGCACATTTTTGGAAGATAGATGTACTCCTGTTCAGCACTATCATGCGCTAGGTATGTCCAATACTGAAAAGTATCTATCTATATTTTATGAGTGTCAACTGTACCTATTTTTCACTTAAAGGACTTATTGAAAACAGTAAATTATTTATGTCAATAAGATTTAAGAATGCAAAATTGTGTCCATACAGAGCAACCAGTTCTAACAAGACCATATATCTGCATTAACACTTACTTGAAGGTCATCAGTATGTTTGCGTAAGCTTTTTGCAGAGTCATTTTGAGCATCTGCTCTTAGCAAGGAGTTGGTGTTTTCTATCCAAACTTTCACATTCTTCAAGAGTTCATCATATTCTTCCATCTTGTTGGCAGCCTAGGAAACGACAGGATTTTACAAAAAAGAACAAATGCATTTCAATTCACTGTATAGAATAAACACATCCACAGACAAGAATAAAAGAAACCGGATGCATTTTCATCAAGGTCAGTTCGATTAGTACGCTGAAATACAGATCACAATTTTTCTGAAACAGTTTCATGACTTCAGACTGCCTCCTCTAACCAAAGGTAATTTTGGGGCTTATGTGTTCACATTTCACAGGAGCATTGTTGCAATCTATATGGCAATGTTACTTTAATAGGTAGCCCATTAGCAGAGTCACAGAGAATCACCTCATCACCCATCCAGGGGCATGAATTCCCCACACTAACCCCCATCAACCATGGTGCAGAGCCGGTCCTTTGGGGTAGCAGCTGGAGGTGACATTTGCCACTCCAGAAACTCTTAGCTACACTAAACCAACACAACTACAGCAGGTTTTGACTCTTTATTCATTCAAGAGCCTTTGAGGATGTTTTATGCAAAGCCTTCATTTTGCTTTTTGTAAGATGTGATTTTTTTTAAACTTTTACATTTGCTTCTACCTTGTTTAAAATGGCAGTTCTGCGCTCGGCGAGTTGCGAGACCTGTTGGTACTGCTGAAGGGGGGTCACTAAGATATCCATCAACTCCTGTGCGTGGCAGGAGTCCTGCTCTACTATATCATGTACTTCTGCATCCAGTTCATTGAGTTTGTAATGCCAAAGGTCCAGCAGATCCCAGATTTGCTGCATGTGGAGAGAGGGGAAATGAAATATAAGGTCAGGCTCAAAGGTAGCAGCAGTGTTATTTGTTCTTCATGTGGGGCACGTGGAATTGCAAAGATTTCAGAACTGATATGACAAGAACAGAACACTCTGCCTCTACTGGTTGAAAAAAAACACGTATTCTCCTGTGAGAAAGAATTGGTAATATTCACCAGGTAAATGCTTGCTTGTACTTCTCCTTTTACAGACTTAAAATGAATGGAGGCCACTTTTCACTCCTGCTACACCAACCTCTGTAGAAACAACCAAAAATCTTTTAGCACCCACGAATTTTTTTTGGCAAGATTACCTTCTGAACTTCTTTGGCTTTTGCAATGTTTTCACTCTTCTGCTGTAACATCTTTTCAATAGCTTGAAGGCCATTATTAATAGTTTCTGCTTTTCTCTTCAGCACATACTGAGGAGAGCTCTGCAAGATTTCAAAGCTAACCTGTCAGAGTAAAAGGAAAACGATACGAGAGATTACAAAGATCTGCTTGTTTCTGTGCACCACCTCACCAAAAATACTCAAGTTCTTTTTATGTTTCTCTTGACAAGTCACTTAAAGACACAGGAATGGAATCACACTTGCAGGGAGAAGCATTACCGTGAGCAGGTTCAATGTTTACATGTTGTTCAATAATTTCCTCTCACTTAAAAATGACTGGTCAAGAAAGGCAATCCCTGAAGAAACAAACAATAAGACGCTTCAGCTCCCTGGGCGCTTCACTGCAGCTGCCCCTGTTCTAAGCTGTAACAGAGGCTAATCATACTGCACTGTGGAAAGCGTGACATTTAGATTCATGCTGCAAGAAACCTAGCGTGTCACCTTTATGTCTCAGCGGACAGCTACTACTTCCATGTAAGAAATAAGGGAATATGAAAGTGCATCAATACATAGTGAATTTCTAAATATAGATTTAGAGACTTATTACTAAAATAAAAGGCTTTGAGCCCCATAAAGTATGTGGAACTTAATTATACACTACAGAACTCCATAGAAATGAAAAATCGGTACACTGGAGGGCCTGGTTTTCTATGTAAACACAAAAACTCTCAAGTAAACTGAAGTTGAGTAATTGCCTGAGCACAGAACCGCGTGACACAGTAAGGTACCAGGTTACTACAGACTAGATGAAGTGCAGGGACTGAGAAAGTGCTTGCACTTAGCCCAAAGTGACATCTTGTCTTACTAAACCCTGCTAGCTATTAGGGTCAGCCAAACACCAGGAAATCGTTAAATCATGTTAAATTCTTTGTGTCCTGCAGCCCTAGGATTTATGGGGCATATGCATATTGCACAGCTTTATGCTGCATTGATGCAAAAGATTTCTAATTTGGTAGTTATTCTGGTTTGAAGCTCCTTATACTGAAACACTTTATCCTTTTGGTGGGAAGAGGAATTAAGATCATTACTTAGTTAATAAATTATTTATCCATTTTTATTAACATTATTTATTATTTATAGATTCCAACATGTAGTGTCAGACCAATATAATAACACCCATAGTAAGGTCTTGTATTGATAAAACTGCATTAATCAAAATAAATATTTAGCAAAAAGTACTACAGTGCTCCTCTCAAATACTCATGCTTATACAAAAAAAGGTATGAAGTCCAGCCTGTACTTAGTGCCTAAGACTCCTTGTAAAAAAGAACTCAGACTGTAATCACTAAACTCTACCATTACTATTATCCTGGAGTATACGAAACATGAAAAATTATTGGTGTTTGTAAAGCTGGTTTCCAAAATAGAAGAGAATCATGTATGAACGATGTGACACAGTTGGAAATGAGAAAGCAGCCCAAGCACAGACTTCACATCTTTACTCAGAAAAAACGCTGCATCAGAAAAAACGCTGCATCTCTCAATGCTCTGGTCACTGGTAGGGTAAGACATCTTACTGGGATAAATTTATAATATTTTTCACATGAAGTGCATGGCATCAGAAGTACAATTTGTTCGCATTTTTAGGTTAGCAGATTTAGAAGAAAGCAGAATGCCATTAAAATATGACAAGCTAATTCAGCACATGGTGGGATCTCCTAGTATGCAACTAAACTGATCTCCAGTTCCACTAGGATTTATTGTGTTTCCTAAATGCACCTAAAAAAAATCCAAGACAGTTTACATTGTTTTCCACTACCTAAACCTGAAAAGCAAACATTATCTAGTTTCCAGGATCAGTTCTTTTGCTCCAACATGTAATGTGTGCATTGGGATAATCTTTTATCTCAGTAAATGAAACAGTGAAGTACAAAAAAAACCCCAAAGGATAAATACTGTTTTAATTCCCTTCTCTCTCCTGCCCCGTTGTTGGTTCTAAAAAATACGGGTTCCATTCTGAAACAGAAACTACAAAGTTAACCAAATTAAAACTAACAAGCTGTAATGAGTATGTCTCTAAATGCAACACAAAATGAATGAATAATATGATAGATACTAACAAGTAACTGGATTTCAAAATTGTTTTATTAAACTTTCAGGTTTTATCAAATTAACTGAGATTTAGCCTTTAAAATTAGCATTAAATATTATTATTTCTGAAATAAGAGAACTGAAAGATTTTTTCTTTTTAAAAGTAACATGAATAAATAACAATGATAATAATTATACCAGGCTAAAATCTGACCCCAAACTTACAGTATTACTCTATTTTCCTTTAATTTTGCTTTCAGTTAACTGTTTATACCCGCTGTAGATAGAAAACATTGCAAAAAGCCAAGGCAGTGTTATTCACTTAGTTAAATTCCCTGCCTGCTTTTAAAGGAATGCAACCATGCCCCAAGGGGTGGTATAATGAACCGTGCTGTGATACCCCACCATGTGTGCAAATTAGATAAAAAAACTCCAACTGGTTTCAAAGTCCTCTTTTAACTCACTTTTGAAAGTATGTTCTCAGCTACGCTATACAAACCTCCCATCAACTTTGAATAGTAGTTCAGTTTAACAATCAGACTGGATAGAAGACAAGATGCATATCACACCCAAGACTATTGCTAGTGGTTCTGCCATGTCCTCTTTCAACAGAAAAGAAAAATATTATATTCATAGTGCTTACTGTAAGGTTATTCTAAAAGGAGACAGTTAACATGAGGAATCTTTCCTCACACATACATTTTCATGGAGAGGAAAATGCAAATGAAAATAATCAACGTTTCAAGTTGAAATTTATAGTTACAACATTCTTCAAATATTGCTGTACTTATCTATACATTACGAAAATGTAAATATGAAAACTACATCAACAGTTACCTTGTCCTCTAGGTCTTGCAATACTTTCTTGCAGTTCTCCAGCTGTGTTTCGATCTCTGCAGGAACTATCGTATACATTTCAGAATACTTGATCCGGAGTTTCTCCATGATATCCTTTAGAGTTTGACTTTCTTTACCAATCACATTCTGAACCTCCTACAAAATTAAGAATAACTTCAGCAGTTTCATCCAGTTTTTACTGAGTGCATGTGCACGTATATACATACATACATGTAGTGGTTTATATTTCCTACCACTATTATGATGTGGAAAAGTAGTTTTTGTGATATCAAACCTAATTGACTACCGCTGCAAGCAGATTAACTTTGAGAAATACTCACTCATTTAATCAAATGATGCTTTTCAACCTGTAAGAATTAATTAAACTTGATACTACTCCATGTCAGGCAGCTGACGCACTGATGTTTATTGACAGGTATAGAGACATAAGCATTTGAAGTGCTCCTACGATTAAATGTTAACCTCTGTGCTCTCCCTTTTGTCAAAAGTGCATTTTCTCTTTGAAAGACGTTTAATAGCCACGTTCATTCCTTCATTATTGTAAACAACACAAAGGCCACAAAAAGCAACAGGTTTCAAGCTGAAGTGTCTGCTTTCAGGCAATTATGCAGAACAGCACAGCAGGCTCCTTTTGAAACAGTAGTTTTCAGTTCTGCATGAAGAATGTAGGTTTTATGAGATAAAAGAAACTTGAACAACTGTCTACAGCCTGTGGCCTAGAAATAGAATCTGATCTAAGTCCTCTTGTAGAAAGAATGAAGAAACTCATTTGTTTTGAAGGTTTTCTAGAATTTCAAGTTGGAAAGTTATGTTCCTTTGCTTTATGGTTCCTTTTCCTAATGCTCAGCTGTTTGAGAAACTCAAATGTTAACTCAAGTTATTGGGGAAAATGATCTAAAGCTCCTACCAGGCAAAGAAAGACATTAAAATTAACATATTTTTCTTTTTCGATCAGGGGTAATTATAATCCATTAACTCCTAGTCTTCACTTGGGAATCTTTTCCTCGCACAAATGCAGTGCACAGAAGAAATATGTAAGAGTCTGAGATTGATTCATTTCCTGTCATCCCATGACAACTGGGTCTGATAGTAAAAAACTTAAACCACTGAAACTGCTGTGTGCCCCACTCTACCACAGAGAAGGCTGTTGCTGTCACATGGCCCAAATAAGATTGTGCGGACATTTACAGAGTTTATAGATTCCCTGACTTGAAAGAATCAGTTGCAACATCAGTCTCCAAAGCAAAGCATGCCTCTGCAAACTGGTTTCTGTATATGCATGCATGTTCACATTTCACAGATTATTTAGCTGGAAAGCAAGATGCCTGTCAAGACTGTCCCAATTTTTTTCCTAGGGGACTAGATGATATCACTTCTCATTTGCATATTCATCTATGTTGGTGAGTTAAAACTTTGCCACCTGACTAACCTAGATTTGTCCTCTGAAAGTAAAATACACATTTCCAGTCAATAAATGCAATGGAGCCCCAAATAATGCTGTAGATTTTATAGAAACTAGGTCTTCTTTGGAAGTAGGGATGAAACTGCCCTACAGATTTTGGCTTACTGGTGTTTGCATTAGGTAAAATTAAGGAATCCTTTCAATCCTTTCAGCTGAATCTTCTGAGGAGCAACAGGCCTGCTGAGACATACTGCTACAAAGAAATCATTTGACGTGTTGCTGCTAACATTTCTTGTGCTGATTGCTCCGATTTGAAGAAGGAACAGGAGCAAGGTCTAAACTCACCTTTGCATACTCAGAGTAGCACAGTTTGGATGCGAGGGAAAAGAGCAGGCATCAAGCACCTACAGTGGTAACATTTCCTCCTGGATACAAAGAACTCGGTAAAAGAGCACACCCAACTCTAAATTCTAATTCTAAATAATTTTCAATAAAACACAAGCCCTTTCAAACAAATCCACAAGGTTTCACCACAGCAATGCTGCCACATGAGTTTTCAGAACTTCCACAAGATGTACTTAACATTTCTCTCTCATGCTTGTATCTGCCACCATGGCCTTTGGCTTCTGTACTTTTTTCTGTAGTTTTCCTAGCCCTTTCCCAGCTCCAAGCATCCACCTTCTAAATAAAATACATGGTGGGGACCCCCAACTAGTTTTTACACTCAGCAGAGAGCCCAAATTTGTAATAGACCTTAGTAGGCTAGAATAAATAAAGTTCCATACTTAAAAGATGACTCAATTAAATATAATTAAAAATAAATATTTGATCAAGATTTAAAAATTAAGATAGTAATATAAACAACAATAAGACTAAATTGAAACAAATATAATTAAAATAATAAATAAATAAACCCACATTCAGGAGGTGCTAGGAATAATACCATTTCATAAAGTCAAGAAGAAGGATAACAAGAATATATGGAAACGATAGAAATGGAGACTGGGTTGCTGCAGAGTGCTGGTTTCTGCTGGTGGAGACTGTGGTCTTGATCACTATTCAATTTCTAAAAAGCATTTACCAGCTTAATCACCTGATGTGTGACATCAAATCCAGAGCATCTGAGGCAGCCCTGGCTGGGTACACACGGGGGAAGAGGCACAGGATGTACACTAAGCAGTCCTTCCTAAAAGGCATGCCACTGGCTGCAAAACTCTGCAACCTGGAAAGACTTCTATGACTGCTCACTGGACAACGTAGAGGGAGAGGAATGCAAACCAAGAACATGGCAGGGCCAGTCGTATTCTGCAGAGCCAGATTCATTCTCTTAAAGTCAATGTGCATATGCATATACTTTGTCACTAATTTCATCTGGAGCAAGTTTAAGCCCCAGTGTAAAAGAGACCATATTCCAAACGTCCCCACACAATAACAGAGCTGTTACCAACCTCCAGCTGTCCTGCCCTTCCAGTAGCATCTTGTAATAACACAGATGAAGCATTCTGTAACGCATTAGTCACAGCACTTATTTCTTCAGTGATCTTGTTCCTCTCTTGAATCTCAGCTTGTACAGAATCCTTATGGTCTTGAGTCTTTTCATACAACCTATGAAAGATTTCCAGCAAGAATATATTAAGTGTTAGACTCCTACACTAAGTAGGAGTAATCAAAGAGCATGCTTAATACAAATGTTTTTGTTATATATATAGAACCACATTTGTCTCTATTATCACATTTTCTGTAACTAATTCACTGAGTTTCTGTCCTTTATTGTCTCAATTTCTTCAAAAATGAGTCTTCAGATATTGCTAAACGAATTATGTTTGGTAGACCAAATCAGATAGCATGCATACTTAAACAGCAAACAGAGCTGAGGTTCTCAGAATCTGAAAATGCTGGCAGAGCAGAAGATGTTCACAAAGATTTCCAGGTCAAAAAGCAGGCATGGGGAAGGGCAAGTACAATCACAGATTTGCAAAAAGTATTTGAGACAAATTTTAAACAGTAGCACTCAGTAAAACAAAAGTTTCATTGTTGCAAAAAGCACAAGGTCTGATTTTCATAAGAGTGGAAGATCCAAACATCTCCTTAAAGTTCACAAGAGCTTGGATCCTCCAAAATCAACCATCATCCCTTCTGATTGCTTCTAAATTTGAACACAAATTGCAGCCTACACACGATATGGCCAGGCTTGGGTTTTCTCCCTAACTACTTACTATCTCCCATTGCCCATGCTGGAGACAGCAAATGGGTTAAATGGAGCGTTGGTCTGACACAGTAGGGCATTCACTATCATTTTAAGTGCACTACAGCTTTCATATATTCTTTAATACACAATAAAACACTGTGCTTATAAGTAGTCCTGTGTCATATCTTCAACAGAAATCTAAACCACTTACTTTTTACAGCGATCCTGCATTGCCTTTATCTCACATAAGGTGGGAAGGGCAGCTTCTGCCTCAGTATTTTCAGATGTATTCAGGATGTTTCTTATTCGGTGAAGAAGCAAGAGTAAGAGGAGCTGTTGCTGGTTGATGTTTTCCTCAAATGAGTTCACGGAATCTAGTAATTCTACCAGTTCCTCTCTGGTGGCCTTTTCTTTCTCTTTAAGACTTTCTGGCTGTTCTTCCTGGAGCTTATCAAGAATTATTGTTTCTCGTTCCAGCTAAGTAAACAGCACGTCAAAGCATGAGATAAAGTGCTTTTTTATTCTGTCACCTTAAGTTACATTATTCATTTACTCATATGCATGACTACATACTGGGAATTACATAGCCAGAGAACTTGAACCTCTGACGTGTGCCAGAACATTTGAGTTTGCTTTAACAAAGCACATAACCACACACAGAGTTGTTCTGGGTTCAGAGAATTTGTACTATAAATATCCCCATTATTTTTGACTCTGTGTTCAAGAAGGGCTGGGGATAACTGGCCATTCTGTGGGTGGGAAATGATGTTCTGCACAGATCTCAGCCCTTTACATGCCATTTTACTGAGGGCCTCATCCCTACCACATTCCCCAAAACTTAAGTTTGTTG